ACAGATATATATATATATATATATATATATATACATGTAAATAAAAATATATAACAAATTTAATGAATATACATTAATTAAACTAAAAAAATAATAATAATTTGTAATGAAAGCCGAAGAAATTCCATATTTATAGTCCTTGATGATAATTCAACATTTGATGAAATTTGATGGAAATGAATGTAAATAAAATCTAAAAGTAAAATATATTTATATGCAAATATATTTAGAAATATTTATATGATTTAATATTCATATAAATTTATATTAATACCAATACTAATATGTGTAATATATATTATACATTAATATATATGAATACAAGTAAATTAAATTAATATAAAAATATGTACAATTTGTAATCAAAACTGAAGAAATTCCATATGGTTTATGGTGATAATTCAAAATTAGTTTTAGCCACTGCAAAAAAATAATTAAGCAATTAATAATGTCAAAATACTAATTAATATAATTTTTTAATATTTAATATGAATATGGTAAACATATACAAAATATTACAAATTAATATTTGTAAATCTATCTATCTATCTATCTATCTATCTATCTATCTATCTATCTATCTATCTATCTATCTATCTATCTTCATGAAAACTGAAAGAATTCCATATCTTTGGTGTACAGTGATAATTCAACTTTGGATAAATACTGCCAATAAATAAATAAATAAATAAAATCTTGAACTTAACTAGGTTTCAATGAATGGTATAAAATAGTCTAAGTGGAATAAAGCATTCAAGAGTAATCACCTAAATTGGTCATTTAGTGGTGGGTGACTTGCAGACGTGGCTTTTCGTGCCACAAAATGTCTTCAAGTTCAGCTGCCGGACGGTCAGAGGCGTTTCTGGAGGGTGGATCCAGACCTCACACCGACATAACGCCACAATCAATCCTAATTTAGATGCCATTAGCGCCGTTTTTTTAAAGCTGTTAAATACAGACTATCAATAAAGGCCAGAAAGTTGGCAAAAAAACCTGGCGTCTGGCGCTCTGATGGTCTCGTTACGCCATCAGACGTGTTGTGAATGCTGCTTCGTCTCAATTCTACTCGCTGTCAGAGCCTCTAAAATGTTTCTCTCTTTTGTGGCCGGTTAAGCATGGCACATTTAATTATAAAGGGTGAAAGAAATGTCTAATTGAAGTGCCAAAATAAATCTCAACTCAATTTAATGCCACATTACGGTGGCTGTGAAAAGGACAAAGTGTGTTTGGGATTGTAGCAGAAGCCCCTTAATCAGCAAATAATTTCTTTAAATGTTTAATTAGTTTTGGAGGCCTATTTACCGATAGCTTTGGAGAACTCTTTATATTCGGTCAATGTGAACGCAGCCGTTAATCAGTCATTATTGAGGGCCGCTGCCGGGTTGGAGGTTTTCTGATTAGTTTTATGGAGTCTTTTAAAAGCACACGGAGACTGAAGTTCACTTTGCATGACAAATCATCTGACGTCTTTGTCATTAAGTGCAAGTTTTAGCTCACAAATTGTAAATTGACTCTTAAAATGTTGTTCCAAACCTGTATGACTTTCTTTCTTCCTGGTAAACGCAAAAAGAGATGTTTAGCACAATGTTAACGCTGCTCTTTTCCATACAGTGACAGTAAACAGGTGCGTAAACTTTCAAAAAGCATCACATACTGAAATAAATTTGTTGTGGAAACAATTTTTTAATTCATAACTTGCTAGTAAATTTCACAAATAATGACAGAAATTCAAGTAACACACTGAATTAGACCGAAATTAGACTGAAATAAAGACTCAAATAGCCTTTTTTTGTAAAACGTACTCCAGTAATTTATTGTTTTTTAAAAATGCATTATTAATTATTATAAATTATTTAATTAAGTGTATGACCTTAGAAGACTTATGGACTACAATGCAAAAAAATATCATAATTGTGACGGTAAAAAGACTGTAAAAAAACCCTGTTAATTGGTTCCTTACAATATATGTAGTGAATATATCATTTTAACATTCATTTTGGCATTTTTAATATAATTTTACAGAAAAATACTGTAAAATGTACAGTTTTTGGAAGTGAAAAAGAATAAGTCATATTATAATTCAAAGTCAATTTACATTCCCAGAATTATGTGTGACTCTTCAAATTTGATGAGATTAAGATTTTATGTTACATCGTATGTTGTTAAATAAAATAATAATGTTTATGCATTATTTTAGTGTTGTATTTGTTATCATGACGGTGTTTTGTAATTGAGTCTTTACCACCCGTTTTTATGGCAGCTGTCAGTATATTATAAAGGTATGAATCAGATTTTAATCTCTCAGCAGGTTAGTATTTTGACATTATATCAGTTTATGATTTTTTGTTGTTTGTAAATTTAAGTTCCATTTTCTAAAACTTGAAATGCTAAAATGACATTTTTTTAAAACATTAAATGTCACAATTTTTTTTCACTCTTATGCTGCATTTTTTGGAGCTCACTGAATGAAAAATGGGGTAAACATCTAATTTTGTCTTCCAAGTACATAAAGTCAAAACGTTTGGGAAGAACTAAATGATGATTTGGGCGAATTGTTAATTTAAGGGATTCCTAGAGCAAGACAAAGTAAATATGAGCTGAAAGCAGCAAATAATAATGAATGAAATGAGAAAAGATGAGAAATGGAATATTTCTGTAATGCACTACAACATCCATTTACCTCCGATCAAAGCCGAGTCGCTGTTGATAGCATTGACTATGGGCTCACCCGTACCTACTGTACCCACATGATCTACAGCAGAGAAGAGAGACAGACAGACAGATCATCAGCAGGACTGAAGCGCAGGTCGCGGCTCATTGAATACGCCACAGCCGCTCGATGAAGGAGCGATGCGACACAAACGCAGAGGCAATCGAGAAATGATTATGCAAATGAAGGTCTTTCTCACGCAGATTAATACAGTGATCAGCCATTACCATCATTATTGCTCTAATTTAATTAGCACTGCGGAGGATTCAGTGAGCCGGCGACGAAAGTTTGCTGAAATTCGACTTTGAGGAGGAATCTGGCCAGAAAGACTAGAGAGAAGTTTGGAAAACAAAGTCTGAAGAAGATACAGATGCCTATAAATGTTTTTGTTTGCATCTAGATAACTTTAACTACTTAAGAACCGTTGCTCCCATTATGCAAAGAAAATATATTTCCTTATATATAAAAAATCAATAAAATACATTTTATACAGAATAGTATATTACAATAATTTGAATTATATATATATATATATATATATATATATATATACACAC